GGGTGGAAGAGGATGGTGCACGGACCAGCGGAGCATACGTCGAAACCATTGTGTAAGGCGAGTTACATGTATTGGATGTCGACGCTGGCGAGCTCGAATGTAACAAGTCCATCCACGGGCCAGTGTTGACGGAGCATGACCACGCGAGAGCAARCGGCGGACAAGCATGGTTGCTGCCGTTTTTAAATCACGCCAATTGTCACAGATCTGCTCAAACCGCGTAAGCTGGCCAGTGAACACACCTGCAGGCTGATGAGATGGAATGTTCGACGTTGCACTAGGATATCGTATAACAGGAAAATCCCATGCAACCGTCTTATCAAACATATATGTTAGAATATAATAGAATAAAAGTACGTAATAAGGAAAACCAGAGCTAGACGGGTTTCATTAATAAAGGTAAACAGTCAAAAGATTGATGAGACTAACGAGCCTATATCGTCTTCACCCGTATACAACGCCCGGTCATTATAGATGTACTTGGGGCAACTTTCTGTCCAGATACACAGCTATAATGACCGGGCGTTGTATTCAGGAGAAGACGTCAGTCACAGTTGGTATACCCATGCACTCTTAACATACAGACCTGAGTTCGAATGCCGATGAACTACCTAAATGACTCCAACAACGACAACAACAACAACCAAAAAAAAAAAAAAAAAGGCAGCAGCGCCAACAGCTTCCATTTCTTCAAAAACCGTACCCACCTGCTGCTCCCTAGCACCTAATATCTTCACCCTCTCTCTTTTTTTTTTCTTGTTCTTATTCACTCTAATCTCTTTATTACATACGAGTAACCAAGGTTCCAACCCCTGCCCCGCAGACACGCTCACAACTTTCAAATCCAGCTCGAACGAACGATAGACCACGGTGGAAACGAAACGACAACACCAACCACCACCTTTCTTCTGTCAGCGTGTCTACGGTTCAGGGTTTGAACCTTGACTACTCCTATCGTATATGTAATAAACCCTCTGCAATCACGCCTCTGTGAGATCGGAATCTGAATCCCTTGTCGTCTGATTTGCCAGAGAGATGATCACAGCGTTCAAAGGCAGTAAGTAACCAAGGGTTCAAACCCGCCAGAGACATGATTACAGTGTGCAAATGTGCAAATGCGCAAAAAGGCAAATGCGCAAATGTGCAAATGCGCAAATGGGCAAATGCGCAGTGCAAAAATGGCATACCGTCACGCTTGAGACGGTGTTCAGGTATTCAGACAGAAGACGAGAATCCGAGCTTCGAACCCTGAGCTCGACACATGGCATTCAGACAGAAGACTTCGAGAATCCGAGCCCACCGACACATGCTTACCACTACTTGCAGCCACTAACCTTGCAGCTAACCTTCTTCAGAAGCTCATTCACACTTTAATAGTAACTCTCGTCTTCAACACGATTACCACTTGCAACAACTAACCTTCAGAACCGAACCTATCCGGACGAGAGTTAAAGCGCAACAACGCTTCAAACGCGGTGAGATATTGACAAGGTTACACCTTGTCACACATCGTCGCACATTGTCCCACAATCAATACGTCAAATAGTCACGCACTGTACACAAATGTTGCCTAAAGAGCACATAAGCGAGATGAGAAAAAGAGAGATGAGAAAAAGAGAGAGAGAAAAAAAAAAAAAGAGAGAGAGAGAGAGAGAGAGAGAGAGAAGGTAAAGCAAAAGAAAGCAACGGCAGCAACTTACACCTCTAGCATTTTTTCTCGCTTCTTCACTGGTGATATTTTTTCTTCCCAACTGTCTTTCTCTTTCTTTCTTATTTCTCATTTTTTCTCTTTTTTATTTTCTCTTTCTCGCACTCTTTTCTCTCTTTTCTAGGGTGAAAGGGTGAAAAGGAGGATCACCACGTTTGTTTGTGTGGCTCAGCAGGGAAATACCCGCGCACCCACCTCCTCTCACCAAAACAATAAAAGACAAAGAAGCACACACGTGGCGCGCAGCAAGAGGTAGAGCAAGACAACAATAGAGTAATACAGTATATCGCGGACGAGGTGAAAGAGAAAATCGACATGGAATCCATTTCCATTTTCATCCATGGAATCCATTTCCATGGATGACGGTCTGAGTGATGATGACGTGGCAGGCAGTAGACACAGACTTCTCTAAGAGCGGCAATCAAGGCAGCGAAAGGCATCACGAAAGGACGTGCACACACGGGGCAGGAAAGCAGGCCGGCGGGCTTACAAATAGCACAGCACGCCGGCTGCAGGCAAAGACAAGCGAGGGCATCACAGGTCAGCACAAAATCCCCCTCTTCCCC